CATGTGTGCATGTGTATTCTGAATGTACATATGCATAGTCATGTTTATATTCTCTATGACTTCTAGATATATATACACACGTGTTTTATTGTTGCATTGCGTACATATGCATGTACATGCACGTACATATATGTGTGTGGGGGTATATACAGACATGCGCACACACACATATATACACACATACCATATATGTAATATAGATAGATATACATATGTGCATATATACAAATATGAACATGTATACAAATGTGTGTGCATATACACGTGTTCCTATATATATACTTAACACTATGTAGTATAGATATATATATAAGTGTTGAATATTTGTATATATATATATATATGTGTATATATATATATATATACATATATATATATATATACACATACATTCTTCTATATGTTTATATAGTCCATATATATATTTAGGGCAGTTGGACGTGTATGTATATGTGTTGTATGTATTTTTATGTATGTGCATATGTATACATACAACTATGTATTGCATATATACATACATATTCCTATATATACTTATATGCTCTACATATGTTGTATAGATAGATAAACATATGTGTGTTGTGTGTTTGTATATTTATGTGTATGTATATATATCTGCATATTATATATATATATATATATATATATATATAATCATTATGTATATACACACATGCATACATACTCCTGTGTATATTTATATACTTTCTCTCTGTCTCTCTGTCTCCTCTGTCTGTAAGAGAAAGAAACAGACAAACATATATGTGCGTGGGGGGATAGAAGGTAATATCAGAGGAGAGGCTTCCCTACAACTTCTACTTTGAGAGAATTGCACGGGCTACTGGAAAGTTAAGTGACTTGCCTATGACCACACAGTCATCTGTGGGAGGGGTGGTACTTGAATCCAGGTCTTAGGCTCTAAGACTGGCTCTCTCTCTCCACACCCTGCTGCCTCATTTATCTGCTTTATGGATTTGCATTTAAATAAATATATTTGCAAGAAGAAATATTCTCTTTAAAGGAGAGAGAGAGAGAGAGAGACAGAGAGAGAGAGAGAGAGAGACAGAGAGAGAGAGAAAGAGAGAGAGAGAGAGAGAGAGAGAGAGAGAAAGAGAGAAAGAGAGAGAGAGAGAGAGAGAGAGAGAGAGAAAGAGAGAGAGAGAGAGAGAGAGAGAGAGAGAGAGAGAGAGAGAGAAGAGAGAGAGAGAGAGAGAGAGAGAGAGAGAGAGAGAGAGAGAGAGAGAGAGAGAGAGAGAAAGCCTGGCCTTGCTACAAAGTTGAGGTTAAGCATTGAGAGGGATCAGGAATCTTGGGTGCTCAATGGAGACAGGCCCCAGACATTCTCATTTGTCCTGCTGCCATTCCCATGTTGTGTCCTGCCTGCTTCTGACCAAATCCCAGGGCTCCCTGCTACTGGGAAGTGGAAAACATTCCCAAATGCTCCCATACACCCTCCTGGCACCCTCCTGCATGCAGAGCTTCTAATACAGATTAGAAAATCTATTCAGTCAAATATCAATCACTTGGGAAGTAGGGGATGGGAAAACACCATGAAAAGAAATCAAATATAAGCCCCCAACCTCATTCATAATGTTTTTTTTTCCTTTTCCTTCACCAGACTCTCTTCCAGAGTTGTTAAGAGTCCACTAATTATATTAAATGATGTGCTTCTCTTCAAGTCCATTCCTATGTCCCTTTCCTCAGTGGAAGAGCTAATGAGGCATGAATCCTCAGAAGATAGATAGGACATATGGAAAAGCTAAGGCTTTAAGGCAACATGGCCCAGTGTTAAGAGCATTGCTTCCAGGCTCAGAAGACCTGGGTTCTAATCTCACTTCTGATGCTACCAGCGTGACCTTTGGCAAGTCACTTAACTTTCCTGGGCCTTGATTTCCTCATCTGTAACATGTGGGGCTGAATTAGATGACCCCTAAGGTCCACTCCAGTTCTACATCTATGACCCTGATATAGAATCTGAGTGATTTGTCATTTAATTAGTCAAGGCAAGAGGAGAACCTTCCCAGATCATCCAGAAAGCATGCCTTCATTGTATGGTCTCGAGCCTCAGCCTGTCTGATACCTGGGATTACAGGTGTGTGCTGCTAAACCCAGCTTCGTGACTCCACATTAGGAAATCAAACATCACAGGAAATTGGTGACTTCTCTGTAACATGAACTGTAAAGATTGGATTTTGGTTCAAAGTAACAGACAGAAAAAATAAACTGATTTTAACTCCCACCCCCAATGAGTGCACTTTTTTCCTCTCCCCCTTCCTAACCCCTTCTCCCCCCTTAAAAACAAAGAGAGAGAGAGAATTGGAATTTTTAGAAATATTGTTGTATAGAGAGCAGGAGAAAATGGGGAAAGAGTGAAGGGAGGAGGCAGAAGGAAAGGAAAGAAGGAAGGGGGAGCCCCATTCATCTTTGCTAACTGGTGTCAGGTATGAGAAAAATCTGATGTATGAGCTTCCTCACATAGGCAATAAAAGATGCAAATAGATACACAATTCTCTTTAATGTGCTCTACATTCATAAAGCTAAAAAATAATTCCAAGTATTTACCCAAATTGGAAAAAAAATTGTAGAGCCATATCCTGCATAGAAACATGATACTCTATTGCTAAAAGCAGTCTGAACAAATGTTGCCCTGAAATAACCATGTAAGTTCAGGCACAAGTCATACACAAAGGCAGGAGGCCAGAGCTGTAACTAGGGTGGGGTGATGGGACTTTGTACCAGGGTGCTGAATTTAGAGAACCTGATTTAAAGGGTGCTGGGAGAACTTGCAGTCTTTCAACAGCTATTCAGTAACAGAATAATAAAAATAGGAAGCTACCAGATGACTTCAAATAGGGTATACCTCTCCCTCGTCTCTCCTCACCTCCTCCCTTTTCCTCTGACCTTACAGGGCCTCATGCCTCCCTGTGTCCCAGGATCTGTGTTTCTGCTTTATCTCTACAACTGAAAAACCCTTTGTGTGGCTTGCCCTGGGAATAGTATGTGGTACTTGACCTAGATAGCAATAGGTATAGTAGTAGCAATAGTAGTAGTAGTAGTAGTAGTAGTAGTAGTAGTAGTAGTAGTAGTAGTAGTAGTGGTGGTAGTAGTGGTGGTGGTAGTAGCTATACTAATAGTAATGGTGGTGGTAGTGGTGATAGTAGTAGTGGTGGTGGTAGTAGTGGTGGTGGTGGTGGTGGCACTAGTGGCAGTAGTAGTGATGGCAGTAGTAGTAGTAGTAGTAACAGCAGTAGCAGCAGTAGTAGTAGTGGTGGTAATAGTGGTAGTAGTGGTGGTGGTAGTAGCTGTACTAATAGTAATGGTGGTGGTAGTGGTGATAGTAGTAGTGGTGGTAGTAATGGTGGTGGTGGCACTAGTGGCAGTAGTAGTGGTGGTAGTAGTAGGAGTAGCAGTGGTGGTGGTGGGAGTAGTGGTGGTGGTGGTGGTGGTAGAGGTTGTAGTGGTGGTGGTGTTAGTGGTGGTGATAATAATAGTAGCAGTGGTGGTGATGATGGTAGTAGTAGTAGAAGTCAGTAGTAGTAATAGCAATAACAACAGTTAACAATATAGCATTTTACATAGCACTTTCAGGTTTGCAAAGCTTTTGACTTGTGCTATCTCATTTGACCCTCCCAATAACCCTATGAGGTAGGTGTTATTATCTTCATTTTACAGATGAGGAAACTGAGGCAGAGTGTGGTTGAGCAACTTGTCCAGGGTCACCTGACCCCAAGTCCAGCACCCCAGCCTGTGCCCCCAAGGGTATGTACAACAATTCCAGAATCTGATTCCATGACGGGCACATGAGTTAAGACAAAATTCTTTCCCTGAGATTTGGGGGACAACTTCTCCTGGATAAATCACATTGTCTCTCTGTTGGCCTCATTTTCTGAGCCCTGTTCCTTCAATACATCATTCCCCCAACAATTTCACTGCAAAAGAAAAAAAAGACTTAAATCTACCAGTCACATCATGCAAGCAATTTATGGGCTAGAATTTACATCTGAAGGGAAGCAGCCTATTTATTTTCTTTAAGGAAGTTGACAGAAAATTTCCAGACACGAAGTCATAACTAAAAAAATAACCACATATTCCCTAACAAAAGAAGGAAAATGTGTTCTTTCAGTAGTCTGGTAAAACTGTTTATTTCCTTAAGCCATCCAAAGGAAGCTACCCATCTCTTTTGCTCCATGAGTCACAAAGCTGAGTCTAAAGCATTGGGACAATAAATTGAAACTTTCCTCCCAAACTACAGCCAATAAAATCCATGAGACTCGCGAACTGTTTAAATTTGCTTTGTAATATTTAAACTTTTTTAAAAAATCCTATAGTTGCCTAAACTCATGGTGATGTGCCTGGCCACTTTCTGCTGGCCCTCTTCCACTACTCCTGAGACATCTGGAGATGCAGGTGGGGAAGGGTCCTACCTTGAGGGGCACCCAGAAGCCTGCAAGCTCGATAGTTAGCAGGGGACAGAGATGGGGGGGGAGGGGGGAGGATTTAAAGATCCATACTCAGGCCTGTCCCAGTAATTCTGCTCTTCCTAATTAGCCAATAACAAAAAGAAAGGAAAGAGTCAGAGTATGGACCAAGTTCTGCCTGGGGGTGGGGAGGAGTCCATTTATGGCAAAGTCACCAAAAAGTCAGTTGGGGGTAATATTCTACCCATAATAAACCTCTTTTCCTTCTCTTTCCCCCACCTCATTCTCTTCCCTGCTTCTTTCTCTCACCCTCATACCCATTCTTCTACCCTTCCCTCATCTTATTTCTTTTTTCTTTTTCTTAGGACAGCCAATGGTACACACAACTGATATAAGAACCAATATAAGCACTGATGTATCTGGCAGCTTCTTACATCTTGGCCCTGAAAGCACTAGACAAAGAAGGAAATTTTGGATTGGGAATAAAATGGATTGGAGCCCTTGGGTTTTTAAAGCACCAGGGCCCATAGCTCTGGTTCAAAGAAATCCCCCTGCCTGACAGGTCGAAAGTGGGGTGAATACCTGTCTCATGAGTTCCTCCTGGCGCATTCGGATTCTTTCTCTTTCCATCTGGATCCTCTGGAGGCGTAGTTTCTGCTGCTGCTGTTGCTGAGTGGTCAGGGCATTGGGCAAACTCATCAAGCCCGCCTGTGGGTTTGGGGCTGGGTGGTTCTGCTGGGACAGAGTAGTGTTAGATGCCATCTGCTGCTGGTGCTGGTGGTTCATCACTGAAGGGGAAGAAATGAGAAAATGGTTAAGGCTGAAGACCCAAAGAAATGAGAAACTTATAAGCTTGGAGGGAGTAGGTCAGACTCTTAAAATTTTTAAGGAGGATTTTTTTCTTTCTCTTTTATTAAAAGTTAATAATAATAACAATAGCAGCTATCATTCATGAAGTGCTTTAAGGTTTACAAAGTGCTTTACAAAATGCTCTACATCACTATTGATTAGAGAAATGCGAATCAAAACAATTCTGAGGTACCACATCACACCTATCAGATTGGCTAATGTGACAAAATGGGAAAATGATAAATGTTGGAGAAGACGTGGGAAAATTGGAACACTAATGCATTGTGGGTGGAGTTGTGAACTGATTCAACCCCTCCGGAAAGCAATTTGGAACTATGCCCAAAGGCTATAAAATTGTGCATATCCTTTCACTCAGCAATAACACTTCTAGGTCTCTATCCCAAAGAGATCATAAAAACAGGAAAAGGACCCACATGTACAAAAATATTTATAGCAGCTCTTTTTGTGGTGGCAAAGAATTGGAAATTGAGGGGATGCCCATCAACTGGGGAATGGTATACGAATGTAATGGAATACTACTTATAAGAAATGATGAACAGGCAAACTTCAGAAAAACCTGGAAAGACTTGTGAACTGATGCTGAATGAAATGAGCAGAACCAGCAGAACATTATACACAGTAAAAGCCACATTGCACAATGACTGACTTTGATAGACTTGGCTCTTCTTAGCAATGCAAGGATCTAAGACAACTCCAAAAGATTCACAATGGAAAATGATATCTGCATCCAGAGACAGAACTATGGAGACAGAAGCATACTATTTGCTCGCGTTTTCTTTTGTGGTTTTGTTTTATTGCTTCATTCTCGTGGTTCCCCCCACTAGTTCTAATTCTTCTTAACATTATGACTAATACGAAAATATGCTTAATATGAATGTATAAGTAGAGCCTATATCAGATTGCACACCGTCTTGGGGAGGGGGAGAAAATTTGAAACTCAAAGTCTTATAGAAGTGAATGTTGAAAACTAAAAATAAATAAATTGATTATTTAAAAATTGTTAAAAAGAAAAAAAAATGCTTTACAAATATTATCTCTCTGGATCCTCACAAGGCTCCTGGGGGTAGGTGTATAACTCTCTCCCCAAATTTGACAGATGGGGAAATCAAGGCAAATGAGGTTAAATGACTGACCCAGAGTCACCCAGTTAGTAATTAAAGCTGGAATTGAACTCAGTTCTTGCTGACCAGACCAGCACCCTACCCACTGTACAACCTGGCTGTGCCTTGATAGCCATGTGAGAACAGTGAAGATATAGCCTCGGTTCATATTCCTTTGGGGAGACAAAGGGTTCTCTTTATCACAAGCACTTTAGTAAATGTTTGCTGTGGATGGTACTGATGACAAATAGAATTCCAAGCTAATTTAAGCATAGAAATTACATTTTGTAAATGAATATTTTAGTGAGTAATTAAATAAGGATTATGGTTTTTAAGCCATTGTCTTTTTATAGTGGGTGTCTTACTTAACCACTGGAGAGGTGATAAAAACAGTATGTCTTTCTGACAAAGAAGCAGTGCCAAGGAAAACATGGCATTATTTGACCAGCATACACCATCTCTAGCCATTACCAAAAAAGAAAATCAGATGTTTGCTCTTCTTCACGTCATGGTTTCTCAAATATTATCTCATCAGGAAGCATAGCAGAAAGATCTCTGACTCTGAAATCAAAGGAACTGCAAAATCAAATCCCTCCTTTGAAACCTCCTATTTGCATGCATGACCTTGGGCAAATCACTTAAAGTCCCTGAGCCTTAGTTTCCTTCTCTGTAAATTGAAGGGGTTGGATAACTTCTGAGGTTCCCTTCCAGCTCCAGATCTGAGGCTCATAGGATCATAGATTTATAAAGGGAACTCAGAGGCTACTAAGTCACATAACCGCAGACCAAAAGATGGAAGGAACCTCAACGGTCATTAAGACTGACTCCATCATTTTGTATCTGGGGAAACTGAGTCCCCAAGAAGTTAAGTGATTTATCCATTGCCACACAGCTAGTACATGTTAGGGGTGAGATCTGAACCCAGGACCTCCTGACCCTATGTCAATCATTCTATCTTATTTCAAAAGGCAGTTCACAATGTTGAAGCTAAAGTTACATAAAGTAAAGCTACTAAAATGAACCCTGTTTCCACCTGTTGTCAGATGAGTTAGAGTCTCCACTTGAAGGGCTATAAGATAACAAACAAGCAAAACTCCCAACTAACGCAGTGTTTTATACATAGTAGGTGCTTAATGAGTGTTTATTGAATTGAGTTAAACTATAGTAATGAGACAGAAGAGCTAAAAGGCTGATCAATTACTCTAGAAATGGAAGGGACCATTGGAGTCCAACTCCCTCGTTGTACGGATGAGGGAACTAACACCCAAAGACATTAAGAGAGTGGATCAAGGCAATAAGAACCAGAGACAGGATTTGAACCCAGAACCTCTGACCAGAGATGGTGCTTTTTCTATTCCAAAACTCCAGATACCCAGCATTCACTTTAATTCTTGCAAGAATCAGGGGTAGTCATTAAAACTAATGACTACCCCATTTTTCTTCCTCTTGAGGGACATCTATTTAAACAGGAGCAAAGGATCCTCTCTGTTTTTCCCAGGTAATTTCTAGAATGTAGTTGCCAAAAAAAAAAAAGGGTACACCACACTTATGCCTAAATGAGGTGGCTTTGTATGGCCAGTGTCAATTTGGTATCTTCCACAGAAATTCAGCTATTTGCTTCATTAGGAATTCCTGACTCGAGGAAAAGAGCTTTTTAGCCTTCCAGGTTAGGAATATTTTACAATGTGATTGTACAGTGCAGACGCTTTTCAGCAAAGGAAGAGATGGCCTGTCATTAGGTCCTTTACTGAAGAAGAGCAGGGAGTCGTCTCCAGAAATCATTCCAGTTCCATATTCTGGGTGTAAAGCTGGTTTACACACACCAAGAATTCGTCCTGTTATTGAACCCTCGGAGGCAACCAGATCCTCCTCAGCAGATTTATTAATGTCTGAAATCTTATCTGGGGGAGTCTCAAACTGGAAAGAAAACTCTTCAAGGACCACACCCTTGCTGGAACATTCAAAGCACTCAGTTCTCAAAGGGAGATCTCTGGGGAGGGAGGGAGGGTGGATCGAGGGAACAGGCTTTTTCCAATTAAAGTTAGATTCAACCCACACAAAGCCCAGCATGTCTGCTGGCTAGCGGAAATAGAGGTCAAAAGATAGCAGTGCTTGAACAATGAGATTGTTTTTAAAAAGCAATGGTGGCACTTTCTGTAGGAGCAAGGAGCTAGAGACAAAGTAGATGCTTATCCACTGGGAAACAGCTCAATAACGTGTACATAAATGAAGTACAGTGTAACTGCACTGTAACAAAGAGAAAAGCACGAGAAGATTTCTGTGAACTGATGTAAAGTGGGCAGAACCAGGAAAACAATATTCATGGTGATTATCACAATGTAAATGAAAAAAAAAATACATGTGTAAGCAGCTAAGTGGCACAGTGGGTGGAGTATGTGACTCAGAAACACCTGAGTTCAAATCTTGCCTCAGACACTTAGCTCCTTTGTGATCTTGACCACAGATCTCTGTTTGCCTCAATTTCCTCATCTGAAAAATGAGAATAATAGATAATAATAATAATCTACTTGTCGGGGGTGTTGTGGGGATAAAATGAAAAAGTATTTTGTAAGGCACTTTGTAAACTACTTTATTCACCAAGGGATATTCTTCAATCCAGGACACTGATGTCTTGGCTATTCCATAAACAAGATACTTCATCTCTCAGCTCCAGGCATTCTCCTTCATTTTCCCCCTGTGCCTGGAATGCTCTGATTACTGACCTTCCCTGGCTTCCTTTAAGTCCCAGCTAAGATCTCACCTTCTATAGGAAGCCTTCCCTAATTATTAAGATCATTCCAGCGCCTTCTTTCGATTATTTCCGATTTATCCTGAATACAGCTTGCTTTGCTTGCATTTGTGTGTCACCTTCCCGCTTAGGTTATAAGATCTTTATATCCCTAGCACTTAGCACAGTGCCTGGCTTATTGAATTGAATTGAAATGCTAACTATTATTATTATTATTATTATTATTATTATTATTATTATTATTATTATTATTATTAAACTTAATTCTGGGAAATTATTGTGACCCAGATTGGCCATGAAGAAGAAATAAGAAAATGTAACTCCCTTCCTCCTTTTCAGAGAAGGATTCATTTCATATATAAACAGGCTGAGATAATGACCTAGCTGCCTCCAATGCAAACAGAGGTCAAATGACTTGCCCAGGATCACACAGCTAGTAAGTGTGGAGGCCAGAGTTGAACTCAAACACTGGCTCTCTGCCCTTGGAAGACAAATTATAGGAAAGTAACAATCATCCACAGGTTTTCCTGGACTAAGAAATGGTAAGCACCACAGAGATCATTTAGAACCAGCCCATTGTTTTACAGATGAGGAAATTAAGGCCAAGAAAGAAGAAATGCCACCATGCTGACAACGAACAGAATACTATGGGTTCTGCATGTGATAATCCTGCCTCCTATGAGGGTTGAGCAATACTTCAGCTTAAAATATGTATATTCAGAGAACTATTCCAAATGTACTATCTGAAGCCAGACTGGATTGTGGGCAGATTGCCGTAAGCCTCCTGAGAAAAATTAATGACCTCTTCTACACTGTTTCTTGCCAGTCTTGGGAGAAGGAAATAACCCAAACAGAAACTGCTCCATCCCAGCAAAAATGCATCAAATCTCCAACAGGGAAGTCTTTTACTTTTCTTTCCAAGAGAATAAGAATCGACATCTCACATTTATCTTTCTTTCATTGTTGCTTTCATCAGAAGGAAAGTTGGAAGACCTCAAAATAAATAGGTTTCTCTATCATTATTTTTGGAAATGGATGAATTCATGCAACATAGATATTTGACCCCTAG